TAATTACATTTTTTATTTACAGATCTGTGACCCAAATAAAATCTATTATTTAGTTCTTATATACACATTCACAGGGGATAGCTAGATAATCTGGCTTTAGAAGAGCGAGAAAAAATGTATATATAGAAACGAAGAAAGCAAGCTACCCTAGGTGATATAAAAATTGATGGTTTAATTTACCACAATGAAATGATGCCAGTTACTTTCACATAGCCTTGCATAACAAAAGGCCAGCTAAACTGCAATTTCGACCTTATCAACAAGTACAACAGTATTCAGAACCGGGCAATGGTCATGGCGAAGTGGTAACGTATCGCCATTACTTGGCCTCGAAACATGATGCTGATAGGAGTTGGTTTGACTTTGTCTAATTTGAGAATGCAATTTAGTCTGGAAAAATATTTGGGGGGGCAAGGTTAGGTGAAATTCAAAGGCCTCGTGAGATCCATCAATTTTTATTTCGGTAAATTCAACCATCGGACCTTAGACCATCATATTGGAGTGAGGTATTCAAGGTCCTATTAACTATCAACTGATTGCTTCGAAGCCCACCCATCTAAACACTAGAAAAACATTCTTAGCTCGACGCCGTGGTTGCATCCGTATTACTCCTCTTTTCCTTAGCTAAGCCTCGGACTTGCACCAGCGCCCTTAACGTGTCTGTTTTAATCAGGCTCCTATAAAACACTGAGACTACAGCCCCTGCAATTGCCACTTCTACAATTTGAGGTGATGGCCTAGAAGTGTACGAATAGAATGCACAGAGATGGGAACCCCATAACAAGGGACCTATAGGGAAAGTGCAGCACTTACCTCAAGACATTGCAGCCAATATAATCTAGCCTCTTCATCCTGTGTAAAGTCCCACGTATCAGGCAGATAAATGGCCGGATGGAGAAGCAGCGGCAACGGCTCACGACGCGTACCTTCAACATGATCCAGTCCAAAGTGCATCCACTCCACAATCCCAACTGAGAGTTGTTCCTCAGCCTCCGTTGAAGGCAGGTCGGCTGCTACTGAAGCACTTGGCAAGTCAGTGAGAGAACATATATCTACTTTCAGAAGTGGACGGTTGTCTGAACCGCCTTCCCAGGCAACGGATGTGACGCCATCGTCATACATCGGCTTTGGTAAAGCGGTATGGACAGCGACAGGTTCAGGAGACTTGGAAAGTGATTTTTCAACTTGAGACAAACTCGGCAGGGAATGTGAATTGAGGTTTGTGCTATGTTCGGTCTTTATAGCCAAGAGCGTGGGATCAATGGGAGTCTGAGAAGCGCAGAGGTCAATCTGGCCCGAAAGCCTCGTAGGTTGGGAAGCACTGACTGGTGAGCTGAATCCTGTGGCGATTGAGGAGGGCAACGAAACGACGTGGCGTAGTGAGGTGGAAAGCTGTGGAGAAGTGGAGCTAGCAGCATAGTTCTCGGTCCAACAGCCTGGAGCGCTGCCGTTCGACTCGAGATCGAGGCCTGACAAATAGGCGCCCACAACACCAAGATAGCCTTCATGGCGTAGAAACATCGCTTTTGTCTTACCTCCGGACCAATAATTGACGGCGAATGTAATTACCTGACAAAATCAAAATAGTAAATTCAAATTGTACTAAAAAGACTTCATTCCAATAAGAAAAAGTAAGTTGTAATTATACCGTGTTTGAGTTTCAATTGCGCACCATTATAATAAAAATAATTAATCGTAAAGAGCTCACAAAGGGCCGACACAACTCGCAAGTCAAGAAATGGATGAAAACAATTGCCTGAAAAAGATAGTTATCCAACTAGTTATAAAATAATAAAAATTACTCTAATGCCTTGTTTTATACTGAAAATACACTTAAAGTATCTACCGCCGTTTGAAGATAAAAGTATAGTTCAAACCAATCAATAGATCACGTTTGGGGGTGAAAGCACATCGTGGATCGATTTGTATGACGGAATGATAAGTACGGCACAGAAAGCCAGATCTTGCAACAAGATGTTACTGTCTTGCACCACAAAAATCTCGCAATACTTTACTACTGTAATATGGTAGGTATGAGCCAATGGAGATTTTAATATAGTATGATTCTTCCAAATTATCAAGGATTATTGGATAATAAACGAGTCACCTTAGTAATAACCAAATCAACCTAGGTCACTTAAGGTGATTTAAGGACTGAAAGTTGAGTTTTACCACAATGAGATGAGTAGACTTCGCGATGTTAGTGAACTTGGGTTAGATTTGCCTCCTAAATGACTATCTCATCCAGGGTTGACTACAGTTTCAAATTGGCCTAGGTCTCGCCGGCACTCGAGTCGTGATTGTCGTTGCGATATTACCACTGCACGGCCACGGGTGTCAGTAATTCACAAAGCAGAGGCGACAGCCAAGGTAAGTCATACCTCTTTTATCTTTATAAGTAGGTTTCGAGACTACTAGTACATCAAATATATGAGCTGTATTCGCCCTAATTAAGTCAAGGTGACATAGGATTGGTAGTTGAATTTTCCAACAATAATATAAGTAGGCTTCTCGTCTCCAGTCAGTTTCACATAGCTTTGCTTCCTAAAAAGCATTATCATCCAGGGTGGACTGCAGTTTCAGTCTCGTCTAGGTCTCATCAAAATCCCCAGCAGGACTCGAACCTAGGTAGTTCAGCGTATAGTCTTGAAACGAGATCAAAACTGAAATGCACCCTTGTTTGAGTAAGGATATCTTTTAGGAAGCAAGGCTATGTGAAATTCAATGGACACGTAAGGCCTATTCATATGAGGGAAAATTCAACCATCAGTCATTTATCACTCTAGAAGGAATAGAGTGAATACATCTCATATATGAATGAGGTCCCTTTCAGCTCGCAATTATAGTGGGACTGCCGATTAGACAAAAATGTGTTTGCCATTACAATTGATGAAGTTACATATTTTCGAATATAAGTAGTTTCGAGGACTGGAATCCATCCTAGATCAGATAGCCATTTTAAGGCAATGAATCGTGAGGCCTATTCATTCAATTGCTGCAAAACTCAACTATTAGTACTGAAATCACCTTAAGCGAAGTAGGATGACCGAACTATTACCCAAG